AGAAAGAGAGGGAAAACAGCTTACCTTCTCGCCCCTCTCGATGTACTTAACCGCAACAAGCTCATTCGTCTGCCGATCTCTCATCAGCCGGGCCACCCCGAAATTACCCGACCCGATATCCCTAACCAGCTCGTACCTGTCGCTGTCGTGCATAATCGGCAAATCCATCCCCGGCGGCCCCGCCGTCGCCGGCGGTCGATCCATCCTAAAAAGTTAATCACAAAATTTCGCGGCCTTCCTCGAGCTTCCACCGCCGCAAGATTCAATTTTTTTCCTCCCAAAAAAAATCCGATTAAAAAGGAGACCCAGAAAACCCCAAATGGAGGGCAGCAAGCACACGCGGCGAAAAAAGGGATCACGAAAACGATTGAGCTGCGCAAGCCCCCGTGAAGAACTCACTTACTCCTGCAATTATTTGGCCACAGATTTTAATTGGGCTTCTTTTCTTTCTTTTTTCTTTTACTAAATCGAGCTGCGACGCTTTTTTCTGCACATTATTTATGAGCTCTATGGGTTTTTTGGGTTAGCAGTTTGCACTTTATGCGTGAAGGTACAGTTGTGAGAGAAAGTGGTGGAGGAGAGAGAAAGTGCTCGTGAAGAAAGCCGCCTTTTCTATGCTTTTGTTTTTATGTAGAAGGACAGTTATTGATTGCTGGTTTTTTCACCTTTCCTTCCCAAGCCAAAAATATTATTAATATATAATTATTAATTATAATATATAATATTTAAAAATACTAAAGTCCCGTTAGATATTATATTTATTTATATAGTAGTAAAAAAATGTTTTAATTTTTAAAAAAATCAATCAAACTAACAGAAAAACTACTATTGTACTGATTTGTTTTGTAACATTCTTCCACAAAGGTTATATTGTTGGCTGTCATTTAAATAATTTCAAGACATAGCTTTGTAATCATTAATCCACACGCAAGTAAATTGTATACATGAGTTAGGAAATGCCTTCGTTTAGATTTTTAAAAACTTTTAACATTTTAAAAATTCTGGTTTATTAAATTTAAATTTTTTAAAACTTCTATAAATCTCGAGATATTCTTAAATTTTTTGGAAAAATATTCAACTACAACAACATCTTGATATAGCGGTGGATTTTCTTTCGATATTAAATTTCTAACACACTACCTCCCATGACATTATTGTCCCGACTCTATGATAATTGTACCACAACTTCGCTTTATCTATAAGAGATAAAAGGAAAAGACGAAGCCGAATAGTGTTACTTAAAATTGTTAATACGCATGGCTAGAAGCAACTATCCCCACTTCCCACGATGTACCCTGCGCTGCATTGACTTACCATTAGCTCATCAATTTCGTATGGGTGACGACAGGGAGCTTGCCGCTGGGGAGACAAGTAAAGAAACGAGCATCATTTTAAATTAATTATCAATTTATTATGCTTTTATATTCATTATACAAATTAAACACTAAAAATATAAAATATTTTAATTTTTTTTGGTTGTACAAAGATTAATATATTTAAGTAACACGGGTAGTGTACTAATTCACTACATTAACAAATAATAACAATATAACTATATACTAAAATTAATACTCAATCTACAACATACTTTGCAATATAACATATGACTCGATTACAAATTAATTACGTACTTAATTATAACAAAATTTGGGCCGGGCTGTTAAACTAGTACATTTTATAAGTTATATGTGTGATAATTAATTTCAATAAATTTAAAATTTAAGCTAAAAATGAATAATGTAAATATTTACATTTTATCATTTAGATTAAATACCATCTGGCAGTTTTGCTATGGAGCTATCGGATGGCTTAGTTTATGGAGTCATCCACACTTATTCACCAATAGTGTATTGACACGTGTCCTGCAATGAATACACTTTGGACATGTGTCAATAATTAAGTGGTGGACGACTTCATAAGAAAAACCATCTGAATAGTTAATAATTACTATAACTTTATCCGGTAAAATCTAACTATTGTCTATTGTATGAGTTAATCATAAAATATCATACGAAAACATTAACTAAACACGGATCATATAAATAAATTATCCCCCTTAATATATAATATATAATTGCAGAACGCGCTGAGCTTAAGTGGCAACTTTGCGTGCTTCGTAATCTTACATGGCAAAATATTATGCTTTGTAATATGCTTGGATAAAAATTAACATTTTTTCATACCAAAAAACTTAGATCGGATTACCATATATATACACATATTTAATATATTTAAATCATTCCATAAAAAATCTATTCATTATTTTTTTCTTAATGTGCATATAATCTTACTTTCTAAATTTTGTGTTTTGTTCATATTATTTCCTTATGTGTTTTAAATAATAATACTATAAAAAAAAATTAATGAGGTATATAAATTAGATTTCAGAATTTGAAATAACTACTGACTGGGATCGCTGAGACCATTATAAATTGTTATACATTGTTTTTAATTTATTTTTTATAACTTCAAAAAAATATGTAATTTTTTTATTATATATTTAACTATTTTATCAAACACCGTCAGGGACGGAGGTACCTTAGGCCTAGGCTGAGCTGAAACCCAGGCCTGTTATTTGTTTTTATTACTGTTAGCTTTGATTTTTTTTTTTTTACCTAGCCCAGCCCAATTAAAAAAAGAAAAGAAAGAAACAATGAGGCCCAATGGCCCCAAATAAAAATTGAGCATCAGGCCATCACATTCACGTGGGCGTAAGAAACGAAAATTGAAAATTGAGCAATCTGGCCATCACCTTCCCCTGCGTGTGAAATAAAATTGTAAGGTCTTCCCTCTTCATTACTTCACCAATCTCCATTGCTCCATTTTCTGTAATCTCTGTGCCCAAACATCGCCGTCAACTCGTCGTCCCGACCAGCCGCCACTCAGCCCTCCGATTTTGAAGGTACAAAAAAAAATTATAAACCCTAGATTATGATTCTGCGCCATTTCGCACATTTGCGAAGACAGAATCACAGAAATATGGTGAAATGAAGTTTGATTATTGTGTGAGACATTAGGATTGAGTGCTTGGCTTTAGATAGGAAAAGAGCAATTTGAACTTTGAAGGATGAAGGCAGTGAAGGGGTTTCTTGTTTCTTATTTCTTGTTTGGTATGGCTTAGGGGAAATTTTCCTTTATAGATTTTGCTTTAGGTAAATAAGTTATTTGGTGTAACCGTGTCAGTTCATTTGAAAAGCATGAGTATAGAATGTGGAAATAATTGGTTCAAAAATTTATATTTCAACTCACATTTAGCTTAAATAAGTGGACATGTTTAATCGGTTTCTACTGCTACAACCGAACTGAGTTTTTTCATCCATGCAGCATGTGAATATAGCACTTCGTAATAAGATTGGGGATGGTTTTCTCGAAGATTGCTTGATTCTCTTTATCGAACGGGAGTTTACTAATAGTACAAGTATACTAATAGTACAAGTATAGATTCTATTATTGATGAATCTTATTATTTGAGTCGTTGGCAGATGATGAGGGAAAAGCTCGTCGACTACAACTTCAATAAATGTTTGAAGAAAAAATATTATGTGATTTTTATGAAAATGAGTATTTAAAATTCCAGCCCAGTTTATTATTAATTTATGGATCTGTCCCTGAACACCGTGTAATACACGAGTATTGTACTAGTTAGGTATAAAAATCATAAGTTAAGTATTGTACTAGTTAGGTATAAAAATCATAAGTTAGTACAAAGGTTAGACATAAATTAGTACAGGTCCGACCCGTAAGCTCGTCTCTCGCCCCGACCCGCCCAAGCCCGCCCTGCTTTTTATAAATTAGGGTTTGGAACCTTCTCTCGTCTCCACACTGTCACTCTCCTTTCTTCTCAGCTCTCTCCGCGCCTCGACGCCCCGCCTCGCCTCACCTCCGCTACAAAAGTGCGCCGCCTCCGCCTCCACCTCCGCCTACACTTTCAAATTCTAATGGTAATTACTACATTTATTTTTTAAAAAATTAAAAATTGTTCATGTAAATAGGCGCAGGGGTTTCTCTTTCAAGTTCATAAATAAATCCTGAGACCCTAGTTCATGAGTCTATTTATCTAAGCTTGTATAGTCTTAGTTCCTTTTCTTGGTATAATGTTTAATCTAAAAAAAAAAAAGGAGTTCCAGGATGATTTGGCGCAACCGATCGTGACCTTCTATGAGTCGGTCCGCGACTACTCCGACCATACAGTCATGAGCAAGTCTCCCGACACGCGCATCCGCCTCTACATGAAGGCCCGTCCCATGACACCACCACGCCTTGCCAAGGCTATCGATGACGGGCTGGTCGGCCCAAAAGACGACCCGGAGGCCCGCTCGAAAATCTTGCACGAGGAGTTCGGCTGGGACAAGGACCTCGCCAAGAAGATCTGGTGCTTCGGGCCCAACACCACCGGCCCGAACATTTTGGTCAACACGTGCAAGGGAGGAGTCGTCGACGAAATCAAAGACTTTGTCGTGGCCGGTTTTCAGAGAGTCTCGAATGAGGGCCCCCTCGCCGGAGAGAAAATGAGGGGCGTTTGCTTCGAGCTTTGTGACGCAGTTATCGAGCCCGACCCAACCCTCAGAGACGAGCGACAGATCATCGAGACTGCCGAACGTGTGGTGTACGCAGCATATCTCTCGGCAACTCCTTGTATATTGGAGCCCATCTACTTGGTCGAGATTCAGGCGATGGAGCGCGACTTAAATTTGATCTATCAAACTGCTTTCAATAAGAGGGGACACGTGTTCAAAAAGAAGGAGATGCCTGGCAACTCACTGGTCTACAATTGCAAAGCCTACCTGCCGGTGATGGAGTCTGTTGGGTTCTTCACCGACTTGCAGGCTAGGACTTCCGACGTTAATTTCCCACGAGTGGTATTTAACCGCTGGGAAATAAGGCATTTCGACCCGCAGAAGGACGATAACGAGGTGGGTAGGCTGGTGCTGGAAACTCGGAGGAGGAAGAATTTGGGGGACATGAAGAAGCTGTCCGATTACGAGAATTAGCTGTGAGTTTGATATGAGAATATGTCTCAGTTTTTGTACTTGAAGTTACTCTAGTTTTACCATCCTCTACTACTGTAAGCATATAAGCATATAAGAGGTATTTGTGTTGTGGCAGACTTGTTAAAATCAGATTGTACTTAAAATTAGGCATGACAAGCACATCTTTCAGAATTAGATCATCGCTTAGCCTAACCTCCCCTAGTTTGGACACTTTAATTTTAGCTCCATTTGGCAAATTCACTGTACTGAGACCTCAACTGAATTAGTGATTAGATCTTCATTGCAACATATATGTTTTACTTGTCCTGTGTGTGTCTCCACAACCCAACTTACAAGTCATTCAATAATGTGAATCCAAAATGTATGCACGGTTTGTTTACCGATTTACTAGATGTGTCCGTATGCATGTTATGGATAATTGGATATGTTATATACATGCATGGAATTCTTCTGAGGTACAATTTCTGCTGGATTTCTGAGGTCGTTATGCCAGGGTAGCACCGCTAAGGCCTGTGCAGCTCTCAAAATTTGACATTTTGAATTTGCGTGCTCTCGGCTAGCATTTCTCGGGTTCTGCCAGAGCTGGGAACTCTATCTCCGCATGCTTTTGAATTTGCACGAACCGGTATGGAAGTCCTGGGAACCGGAACGGAATGCTTCTTCTATCGTCCAAATTCTGAAACCATCACAACCGGAAAAACACGAAAAACAAGAAAAATAGGAAGAAATACAAAGAAAATACCAAACACACCAAAGTAAAGATAAAAATACGAGCAACGACTACACGGACCGGAAAAACCTAAGAAAATACCTAAAATTGGGGGAAAAACACGAAAACACCAACAAAAATAGCAACGAAAATGGGACAACAAAGAACATATTATGCAGATGAATAAACATAATATTGATTTTAAAGTGATTCTGTACGTATCTTTTTGAGGTATACACACAAAATATTGGTATGTATATTTTTTCGAAATCACACACAAAGGTAAAAGTATTCTCTAATTAAAATTTCTCATTCATTTATCCATTTATTAATTTCTTTAAATTTTAAAGATAACATTTATTTTATCAATTAGATCAAATTAATGTAAATAATATATTAATGAGATTTCATAATTTATTTTTTTTAATCACCTCCTAAGAATACTAATATAAATTAATTTCAAATGTTACTGTATCTTAAAAAAGCGAGTGATTGTTTGGATATGTTTTATAAATCTGGGAGATAATAGATTAATATATACAGTTTTGGGAAAATCTTTAGAAAAACATATCTTATTTTTCTTTACCTCAATTTGCACTTAAAAAAATTTGTACACGTATTCTATTATATAATACCGCCGACGACTAAAAGATTGTATATATTAATCAAAATCAAAATATGTGAACATTGAACATAAAGATGTAATGCACATACATAGAAGGAAAAAATTAAAATTTATCATGTAACAATTTTTTAATTAAAAAAATGGGTGTATTGGGAAAACCTTTCGAAAAACATATCATATTTTTCTTTACCTCAATTTGCACTTAAAATTTTGTACACGTATTATATTTTGAAACTAGTAACATTTTACAAGTTATATTTGTGATAATTAATTTCAATAAATTTAAATCCAAAGATAAAAATGAATAATGTAAATATTTACAACTTATCATGCAGATTGAATAAATTTGGATAGGTAGGAAATTTTAATAACTAGTATGAGTTTATTGGTAAAATTTAACTATTATATTGATCAATCATAAAATATAAGTCAAATTGAAAACATGAACTAAATACGGATTATATAAATTAATTACTATATATGAAAATATTGTTTTACAAGTGAATATAATTATATTCTCCCTATATATAATTTCAGAGCGTGTTAAGTTTGTCCTACTTGTAAAAAATCTATGCTTGTGTTGAACACATAAGCAGACTCAGATGCTAAAGTCAATTGACATTTAGGCTTGGATTTACCAAAAATAATAATATTTAGTTATTTATTTTTCTTATATGGATTATTTCCTAATCATTATTATTTCATATAACTCATTTACCTTTTTCGTCCCAAATTTCAATTATGATGCTCACCATTCGATTCTCTTTGATCAGATCTATCGGCTTCTTAAGCAAAAACAATCGAGTCATTGGTGGTAATTTGTTTTTAATGTGAGTATATTATTTTTAAAATTTCAACTATAATATATTTATAGTTTCTCTTAATTTGTTTTTTGTACAAGATATTTATTTTTTGTACTAGATTTATTTATTAATTTCATTTCATGCATTGGTAACAAAAAGACCATCTATTGCAGTGGTGGGATACTAGAAATATTTTATATAAGAGGAATGGAATCATTTAAAATTTTTATTTTAAGTTATGCATTATTGAAGAAACTTTATTCCAAGTTATTTTTCTATCTATCCCTCATCATATACATAAAAATAACAAAAAAATTTAAGCAAAATTTAAATTTATATCTATCAATTATTATTAAAAGTAATTTATTTATGAATTTTGCTATGACAAATAGTATTGGAATTGATATACATTCTTTTGGTAAATGAAAAAAATATTGTTGGTGGATATCTATAGTGGTATGTTCATATTATATTCTTGAATGAGAAATATTTTTAACGTTTTACATACCTTACCTAACATACAAGCTAATGTGAATAAAAGTTGTTTAATTTGGTCACATATAACATGAATAATTTTGATCAAAACATATTGAAATTTGAAACTAAAAAAAAATAATTTATATTATTATTTTATTACAAAAATCATGTATATGTATATATTAATTCAATATCGTATTGTACTAGAATTTCTGTATATATAATTTGTTAAACTACTGTAAAATTGATTGACAAAATCGATTTCAAGGTCACTTGAAATTCAAATAAATGATGTCATTTTAAATAACAGAACTAAATAAATTATAAATTATTATTATTATTGTAAAAGTCCCGGGCCATCTGCCTCGCCCCGCCCCGACCCGGCCCCTGCTTTTTAACCTAGGGTTTGGAACTTCCCCACTCCACTGTGTCACTCTCCTCTCTTCTTTCTCTCGCTCTTCTCCTCAAATTCACTCCAACTCCGCGCCTCGACTCGACGCCCTGGCGCCCCGCCTCGCCTCAGATTCTAATGGTAATTACTACTTGTTTTTTTACTTCTAAAAATCAAAAAATTGTTCATGTAAATAGGCGCAGGGGTTTCTCTTTCAAGTTCATAAATTTCGTAAAAATTCAAACATATTTTATGTATTAATGTGGTCAGATGATTTAAAACTAAAAAAATAAAAAATCCTGAACCCTTGTTCACGAGTTCTATTTATTTAAGCTTGTATATTCTTATTTCCTTCTCTGGGTGTAATGTTAAATGTGAGAAACTAAGGTGGTATTGAGGACTGTTGAGTGAGAGTTGATGATTTATTGATCTGGTGTAATGTTTAATGTGCG